TCTCCCAAACAAAGCCACGCTTTCCTCAGGCCAGAAGTAATTGGTGTTACCTTTAAGTACTTCCTGGTCCTACCCAGCAATTTTGTATCATTGCATAAATAAGTTAACAAAAATATTTATTTCATTTGAGGTGAGCAGGATGAGAATTGGCTTCCCATGAAACGAATTCTTCATCATTATTTCTAAATTGCCATATATAGATATGTTAGTATCTGTTGCTTTCATTTATATTGCAGGTGTACTGCTATGAAACAGCAGTGTGAAGCTGCAGTTTTCACTCAGGAAATAGCAGCTCTAATTAACATGGTGGGTTGCATCTAACTGAGTGCTTTCTACCAACACTTCACCATCTTTCAGAGAAAGCATTGAGACACTGGGAAGTTATTTTTTGGCAAAAGCTCACCTGCTCAGATCTTGACAATTTATGTATATTGACTATTACTGCATTACATTTATATTCCACCTTTTTCCATCTTGCAAGGAACCCAAAGTGGTTTAAAAAGTTCTCCTCTCCCTTTTATCTTCACAACAACAACCCTATGAGGTAGGTTAGGCTGAGAGGCAATCCCTGGTTGAATGTCACCCAGTGAGATTCATGGCAGGGCAAGAACTAGAAGCAAGATCTCCTAAATGCCAGGCTAGCACTCTTAACTACTACACCGCACTGGTTCTTGAATTGCACTCGGCCCTTGAACTGAAATAGGTTCCCCTCCTGGGACGGAAAGGATGATTCTAACCATGTCTCCTCAGTGGTAAGTCTTTCAGATTCCAGATAAGTTTTCTCATGAATATGCCATTTGCCATCTATACTATATCCAGCAGAATAAATGTTTACAAAGCTGATACCAGAAAGAGCGTTTGAAAATGGAGTGGAACATTTCAGTCTCTCTGGCCATCTAGCAGAAACATTTCAAAGGGATCCTTCAGTGTGTAAAAGCTGAAGTGGAACAGATAATGGAGTGTGATTCTATTCACTTGGCTCTGAGCGGGGACAATGGTTTCCTCTCCTACTGCAGGTGTTTATTTCCTTAGCAATACTAAAAATTGTCCTCTATTACTCCAATTGCAAAGTGCTTAGCTTACATACATTTAAAGCTTTAACTGAATGATCAGACATTTTGCCTGTCATGACCATTTCACTCCACCTTTTACCATTTTTCTTTTCCACACCCATGCGCCAGCTGCAGGTCCTTGGCCAGCCCCTGAGCATAACGCTTCATGCAGATGGGTGCCAGGTTGCTCCTGCTAGTTTAGGCGCCCTTAATGCCCCCACAGCTTGTCAAGCCAGAGAACGGCAAAAAGGAATTCTACCCCTTTCAGTGCACACCTTCTTGATCATCAGTGTTGGGGGTCTATGAGAACGGAACCCGAGGTTCGAACTTCTTCCAGGTTAGGTATTGATGCAAACTGGAAGTGTATGATTTCATGCATATGATGGCACAGGAAGCCAAACCTGCTAGCAACCTCTGCTGGGACATCCACTTCTCTTCTCCAGTTTGGCAACTGAATGGAAAGCAACACCGCTCAGTCTGGGTTTGGCACAACAGTCCTTCCCTGCACCCCTCTGTGTTTGTTATGAAATCACCTATCAGCAACACAGCCTGAGAAGCTCTGGATTTATTTACATTCAATGTAAATAAGTTCATAATTTACATTCCTAAGTTAAATATTTGTGCTACAGCAGCTCCAGTTCAAAGCATGGGCATGTTTCAAGAAAAGATGCCCATTCCACAACAGACCAAAGCCAACTAGAATCTGACTTCATCACAGGTGAGAGGAGAGCATCTAACACTGTACATGAAGGTCCCAGGCTAGTTTATGATGCAGGGAGGTTGTCTTGCAAGAGGAGGAATGGCATGAAGCTGCTGCTACTGCTCTGCCGCACCTTCCATCTCAGGCTGTTGCCTGCCTCTTCCTAATGGGCCAGGGCAGCTTATTTTATATTGTATATTTGTATCTTATTTTAATGTATATATTTTAAAATGTTATTTATGATGTTTTAATTTATTGTTGTAAGCCGCCCCGAGGCTACGGCGAATGGAACGGCATAAAAATGTTTTAATAAATAAATAAATAAATAAATAAATAAATAAATAAAGGGGAGGGCGGCCCTGCTGAGACCCTGAGGCTGTCACAGCAGAGGCAGAGGAGATTTTTCAGGCTTTTGCAGAAGCTGCAGCTGTTGTACATCTGTACAAAATCCCATGTGTACAGATAGTTAGTATTGTACACTGAAGTATAAGGATGCACCTACTTGGAAGTCCATCATGTTACAGCTGAGTAGCCTTACATAGATTCAGATTGCACAAGTAGGACTTTTCCTTTCTGCATTGATTCCAAGCACTTCTATGGTGTACAGAATCACACACGTTTTGACACATGTCAAGGAATCTGGGATGTATTAAAGCAGGACATGAATTTCCTTTGGAAACCTTGTTAAAATAGGAAGTAATAAACAGTTGTATTTGGCCATGGCCATGATGGGACTCAATGAAAGGAAGGAATTCCAGAAGGAAATGAGAGAAGTGACAGGGATAGAATGATTCATATATTGTTGAGATTCACATCTCATTAAGTGTCAATTTTGAATTTTGATGCAATGTACCATAATAGTGATTTATTCTGCCACAGCTTTGTAAAAAAAGTACTTTGAAAAACAACTTAGAAGTCTTTTAGAACAAAAACACCATGACCATGTGTTAATATGGTCATGGCAGATCATGAGAGACTGAAAGAGTCCCTGGAACTGGAACGAAAGTCTCTCCACTATTTTGTGCTACTGTTTTTAGTTGACTTTAGCTATTCGAACAGTGACTCTCTGCTCTATCTTTACATTTGGATACAAACCTAATATTACAAAAAGCCATAAATCTCCTGTCATCTCCTTCCAAGGAAAACCTTATGTGGTAAAGCAAAGCATGCCAAGAAATTTTCACAGCTCAGAAAATTGGGGGAGCATAAACCTTCTGTGCCATGCCTTCCTAAATATGGTATACAAAAGACCAGTCCTGTTAAGGAGTTTTCCTTTATTATTAGTAGTACATTACATTTCTATACTGCTCATAGCAAAAGCTCTCTGGGGATTCACAACATATAAGTCATCCATCCAGGTTTCAGCCAGGCCTGACCCTGTTTAGCTTCCAAGATTAGGCAGGAACAGGCACTACAGGGTATTCTTATACACATATACTAAAATGTAAGCCCTCTGGAATTCATTGAAGTTTATTCCTAGGTAAGTTGGTACAGGATTGTATGCTTTATGAGACAGGTTGCTCTATTATAGCACTGGACTTTAATCAACAGTTACCAAATACCATAATTCTTGCAGTTTGACCTTGAAACAATTCATATTCTGCTGTAAGGATGAGATGGAGTAAACCCACCTATTTAAATTTGGACTGTTGATTCCAATCTCTTAGAATCTGCCATTAATCCTTTTCAGTGTAGCTAATAAGTTAGTTTATTTGGGAGATTTCTAAGCTGCCTTTCTAAATATTATTTTACATTGCAGCAAATAGGATATATTTAAAACCACATTAAAAGCTGATCTGTTCTACATAACTATTAATTGAAAACATCTATATTTTTCATTGCTGAGGCTTGTTTTGAAAATGTATTTAATTGTAACTGGCTTTATTAAAGTTGTCCATATTTAATAGTTTTATTAATACATGACTTTTCTTGCCTTGGGAAATATATGATCTTGAAAGCAGTCAAGAAATCTATAAAGAAAAAAAAATCAAAATTAACATTAAAAAACGAGCATTGTAGATCATTTCTGTCCCTGTGATACAATCCACTCCTCCGGAGATCCACTCCTCGTTTTGTTCCTAGCTTATTTGTACTTCGCAACTCCATTATTTTCTATGAACCTTCGGGGCTTCCCATTGTTTTCGGTAGATAGTCTTGTCTTTCGTTTTAGCCCATCCGGTAAGGGACATAAGTATTACAATTTAGCGCAAACACTAGTATTTTAACCTGCATCGCAGTTCATAATTTCAGAGAAGTTCAAACATATAGAAAGAACTAAAGCTTTTATTTTCCGTACAATATGGCTGCTCCCTGTGTCTCCTGCCTCTCTTCGAACACATATGTACGTTCCTTCTCCTTAGAACGAAGAGCCCGGAAGCGCAGTATGCAAAGACACTCCGGGTTGCGCACAGACTGCGCAGAAGGAGTTCCTCCCTTGCGCAGCTGGGGCAGGTAATGTGCACGTGAGCGCCTTTTGTTGATGGATGCAGAGGCTCAGAAGCATAAAGGGAGGGGAAAGACCGACCTGCAAGGGGGTAGTGTTGGGTCTGGTTTCTTTCTAGTGGGATGTGTGCTTTTCCTGTTGCCCAAAGCTTAGAGAAGTTCCTTTCTTCTCGCTCGGCTCCTAGTCGTAAGGGTACGGCTGATGTAAAACTTCAAAATACAAAAGGGGTTTGAGGGAAACAAAGTCTGTGCGACGGAGCTGAGATTGGAAAAGACCTCTAAAGAAAAAAAAAAAAAAAAGACCAGAAATAAAAGCTGTTTTTATGAAGTCGCCTTTGAAATAAGAAGCGACTTATCTAAAGAAAGGACCATTCGGCGATTCTTCCTCACCATCTTTTGTTTTCTTTGTCACTTTCAGCTTAAAGATTCTCTGTCGTTTGCTGCGCCGTGCATGCAACGCTGGTTCGGTGCATTTGGCTATGCTTGCAAGTGAAAACATTGCTTCACACTTATTAAGTGCTTAGGATTTTGTAAGCACTGTACAGTTCAAAAAATTTAAGACAGTCGCTGTATGTTAAGGCTGAAAAGTAGAAACAAGAACGTATTGCTCTGTGTGCATTTTAATTGTAATTAAACTCTTACAAGTTTTTCTTGACTAATCTAAGTCTTTGGGTCTTAAAAAGTTCGTCACACTTGCCAAAGGCCTGTAGCCATTCTAAAAGAGTGAAAGTACTGCCAGAAAAGTAGAGGGGCAGTTCATCTGGTTTATAGGCCTTTAAAAGACAGCAGTATAAACTGTTCTTTATTTTTTGTTTATTTAAAAAGGGTAGCCAGAACACCCAGTTCCTCTAAGCCCTCCTTGGCTACAGATTCAACACACTTAATGATGGAAGGGGAACTTATTTGTGCATTGAGGACTTGTACAAACTGGAATCACAATATTTTGATTACATTTATATGCTGCTTTCCCTATGCAAATTCTAGGTAGGATATATAAATTGCTAGACAGCCTTCTGTCCAGGCATTGATGAACCTTAGACTTCTGCAGCCTCAATAAAGTTGCTGCTGGTGTGTTTTTAAGCTGTAGCCTGGAAGATCAATGTTTGCCTTTTCTATTAGCTGCTTTCATCTGTTTGTGAAGCGTGTTGCAAATGTTCACTCAGCTGCTCCCTGTCTCCCTTGCCTAAATAGTGGGCACAGGTGAGTTCTGCAGTGCCAACTATCACTTCATATGTTCTGCAGTGCCACCACTCATTTAAAGGTGCATTAAAAGATGAGTCTCTTAGGTCATCTTCAGAGTACCTCTGTATAAGCAATTTCAGATTGGCCAAGGTGAGGTCTGTGTTAAAGAAGAACTCACTTTCTGATCTCTTTAGTAGGTAACTTACTAGATATAAAAGCTTAGCAACAGACACTAAATATATTTATTTAAAAATACTTTATTAAAAATAATATAAAGTATCTAAGCTTCTAAGTCTGCCTCAGCATCTCAAGCTTTGGGATGCTAGTTAAAATGTATCAATTTCTCTGTCTCAAACTATCTTAAAGTTAACCGCTTTTGTTGACCAGTTAACTGTAACCTATTCAGCTATTACACATTTTATTCCTGCTAAAAAAGGAAATGCTCCTTTCTAGTGGCAAGAAAAATCAGAACATTTTCAGTTTATTAAGACATGCAGGAAATACATGCAGCATGTTGGTACATAGTTGCTGAACAGACTACCAAGATGGGGTCTGTCAAGGTGATGTTGATAGCCTATCAGTTACATACACAGTTTGGAGGACCAAGGGAGGTCAGGTGGAAGAAGGTCAGCCTTGCTAGAAGTTGAATGTGATTAAGATACACAAAACAAAAGGAGGAACTTTCAGGTCAGGCAAGTAATCAGCACTTCTGTGGTATACACAGGGAGCAAGACTGGCAACATAGTTTCCTGATCAGATTAGAAATCCCACCTTAAGTCTAAAGTTGTTCTTTCAGTGTCAGGCTTTTAGCCATATTATGGCAGAACTTTTGCTCATTTTTTGCTGACACTAGCGAAACCCCTAGTTTTCAGTCTCTATTTCTCCTATGTACATACTTTCACAATTGTAACTTCTCAATAACCTCCTTCCTCTACTTTAAGATTAAGAACATAGAATAAGAAGAGCCAAAGGCCACCAAAGCACATGCATATGGGACTGGTTTAAAGAGCTGAGGCCAGGCAAATCATTTGGATGAATGCTGCTGCTTCTGAACAGCATTATGTTCCTCCCCAAAGGAGCTGCTGTTAACCTTTCCTCCAGTATCTTGAGTTAGCTCTTTCAACCTTTTGCATTTACCTTCCTTCTCTTTAAGCAGAGGCTTGACTCTGCCAGGAGAGGCAGGTGTTATTGCTCTCTCAGTGAAACAGGGAAGCTCTGTAAATCTGAGAGAAAGGAAAGATGGAGCAAACTGGGGCAAGTGGGTGTGGCTGCTGGGTGCAGGCAGTACATTCCTTAACTCAAGTACATTTGGGGGGATGTCAGGACCACATGTTGCCCATTCCTGCATTAAACTCCATTTTCCCCCTTGAAGTTATAATCAATTCATCAGGTCTTGTATGCATCTGAGGCTTATGTGACTGCAGTAGAATAATTTATAGCGCAGTCCTAAAACTGTGTACTTATGTAAGTCCCAGTGAGCTATTCCCAGGTAAGTAGACCTAGCATTGCCGTCTTGAGGTATAATCCTATGCATATCTCGACAGGAAAAAATCCTACAATTCCCATCATGGCTAGCTGGGGAATGCTGGGATTTGCGGAAATTATTTCTCTCTAAACGTACTTAGAATTGCTATCTTAGCCATTGTTCCCACTTGTCCCAGGATGTATCTAGCATTTGATCTATATGTCCCCCTCAATATTGTTTTCAGGTTACAAGACAGCTCTGTAACAACATGCCTGCATTGGCGAAGTAGTCGGGGGATGAACAATGCTCAGGCAAACAACAGTCACTGTCGCTGTGGCCACCCTGTTAGGCATCGCAGCTGGAGGCCTGGTTTTCTGGAAAATCATCCAGCGTCGCAAAGGCAGAACTTGCACTGCACTTAAACAAGGAGGAACTGTTAAAGAACAAGAAAAGGAAGACTCCTCAGAAGATCATATCCTTTCATTCATATCATCTCCTTTAATCCCCTGGGTAGAGAAGATTCTTGAGGCAAAAGTGCTGATAATTTCTGAGGCAGAGAAATGGAATGAAATAGAATCATTATTAAAGGAGGAGGTGGATCATTGTCCAGTCCTTGGAATTGACTGTGAATGGGTAAGTCTTATAGACTGGGAAACTCTGCTTAGACAGAAATAGGTTATTAACGAGTTATCTCCTGTTTCTTATGCTGAATCTAAGGGATGTCCAATGTGCTATTTGATTCCCACGCTGAGTCACTCCCATATGGTGGCTTTCTTTCATGTAATAACACAGATGTAGTTTCCCATGTGGATCCATCTGACTATGGGACTATTTTCCTCAGCACCATGAGGCATTTCTTTAAGAGTCCATCACTGATTTGGGGACTTCTTATGTGGTTAGGGGAGACACTCTGAGTGCCATTTTTCGGTAGAAAGGCAGATAATCAATAAATAACTAGCTAATTATATCTGCAGGCAGTATTATACATTTGCTTTCTTGCCTGCTGAATTGTTTATATGGCACTTCAGGAACTTTAAAGAAAATTCACAATGAGTTATTTTACTCTTCCCAAATAAAAAAGAATGAAGCTGTAAAATAGTTACCCAGGGAAGTAACTGTAGAGTAGCCTTCCCCAAGCTGGCACTTTCCAGATGGGTGAGACTGTGATGCTCATCATCCTCAGTCAGGATATCCAATGGTGGGGATGATAGCAGTTGTAGTCCAACACATCTAGACAGCAACAGTTTGGAGAAGCTACTACATGCCAGAGGCAGACTTATTCTCTGGATGTGGGTTCTTATGTAGACAAAAGAACATCTATGTACAAGACAGCGATAATAGGAGGTTTGCTGTAACCTCCAGCTCTGCAGTAAGATTAAAAGCAGTTTAGCAAAAAGCCCTAAGGGGATAAAGCTTTTCAAAACAGCTCAATGAGGAGTGAGCATCCTAGTGAGTATCGAATGTAGACTGACTGTTGCAGGACGACTACAGTGGGCTGGGGGAATGGAATGAAGTGTCCAGAAAAAGGGCGTAGCTGAACTCCTGAACGTGAAGATGCCACAATAATATTTTGTTGCCAGCTCCACTATTCTTTCATACACCAGTCTCCTGATTTTTTTATATAAAGCCCAAGTGTGGTGTAGTGGTTAAGAGCATGGGACTGGGACTCAGAGGATCTGGGTTTGAGTCCCCGCTCGGCCATGGAGCCAACTGGGTGACTTTGGGCCAGTCACAGTCTCTCAGCCCAACCTACCTCACAGGGTTGTTGTTGTGGGGATAAGATGGAGGAGGAGAGATAATGTAAGCTGCCTTAAGCCCTTTCTAGGAAAAAGGCAGGATATAAATCGAATAAATAAACAAACAAACAAACAAATAAAGTGGTACCCGGGCAGTTTCCCATCTAGGTAATGCTTAGGGCCAGACCCACTTAGCTTCAGCAGTAGCCTTCAGACCTTTAAAAAAAAGTGGGGGGGGGGCTTAACTGGAATTGAGGACTCACTGGTTCAGTGTCTGCTTTAGGTGGAACCTGGTTAAGCACAGCTCTGGTATGTGTCACATGATATTAAAGTGTTTGTATTGATATTGCTGGCTTTAAAAAAGCTGCAGCGGTCCTGTTCCCTTTTGTATTTTTCCAAATACCTCAATATCTCTTCTAAGGAAAACTTAGGGTGCAATCCTATGTAAGTTTAGACAGAAAAGCGACCTGCAACTCCCAGCATATCCCAGCCACCACAGGATAACTAGAATGCCCCAGTATAGGACAGTGCCTTTACAATAAAAACCTAGCAGGAAGTTCGTGTTTACTCATAATAACATAACTGTTATTGTGGTGCTATTATGGTGTTAGATTACCGTTTTAGCAGATGTTTTGCATCAGCTCATGTTTTGTTAAGACATGGTACAAGGTGCATAGTGAGTCTCATACATTCTGCAATTAAGGGCAAGGGTTAGGAATATAGGGTGTAGCTTCTAGCAGGTTCAGGGCTCAGTTTACAAATTAAGGAAGGGGGTGAAATCTTTAACAATTCCATTTAAGTTAGGCAAAAGATATTTATTGAAAATGCATAATGGCCAGTCTAGCATTGATTGATTGATTGATTGTTACACTTATATCCCACCTTTTTTCATCTTGTAAGGGGGCACTTCTCCATTTTATCCTCACAATAACAACCCTGTGTGGTAGGTTAGGCTGAAAGTGACTGGCTCAAAGTCACTCAGTAACCAACATGGCCAAAAAGAGACTAGAACTCCAGTCTCCCAAGTCACAGTCCAGTGCTCTGATCACTTCAACACAGTTTTTTTTTTTAAATCTAAGCCATTTCTTCTGTTTTGTAGCATTTATTTCAGCCAGAAATCAATCTTTCCATTATTCTTTTGTTCTTGCTAGGTGTCAGCAGAAGGGAAGAAAGCCAAGCCTGTTTCTCTCTTGCAAATGGCTTCCTTCAGTGGTCTTTGCATTCTTCTTCGCTTGCCTCAGTTGACTGCTGGTGGACAGGTCCTTCCAAAGGCTTTGCTGGAGATCCTGGCAGATGGTCGCATTCTAAAGGTTGGGGTAGGGTGTTGGGAAGATGCCTGCAAGTTACTTCATGACTATGGTGTAACGGTCAAAGGAACTGTGGACCTCCGGTATTTGGCCATGAGACAGAGGTGGGCATCTTTGAAAGAAAGTTTCCGCCTTAGTGGGCCATGATCACTGTTTCCAAATGTTCAAACTACTTGGTTACCTGGAATGAATGTTAGCATGGCTTTTGTTTCCTAGAACAGTGCTAAATGCAATATGTTAAGGATGTGTGAAATACATTTGTTTTATTGTTAAGGATTTTGATTGTATTTGTTTTATAACATATATTTAATTGTTCCTAATTTTACTGAAATGACTGCAATGGTGAAATGATTTCAAGATGGCAGTAACGCTGACGATCTAGATCTAATCAGTCTTGGCCAAAGAAATCCTGTGCATGAATCACCTTGTCACAAACAGATACATCAATCCGTTTCAAAAGTTATTTATTATTCCATTTATTTATTCAATTTATATACTGTCCCCGATAGCCCACAAGCTCTCTGGCCAGTTTACAATTTTTAAAAATCCTAAATACTATACATAAAATACTCATAAAACCGTATAAACAATATATTCATAAAATACTATAAAACAAGCAATATAAACCAACAACTATGAGACAACCATCAGCATTGGCAGCAATTTAAAACCATATTTAACAAAATATTATTTAATTCAGCAATAAAACATTTGGAAAATAAAAAGGTTTTCATCTGGTACTGAAAAGATATAAGGGATGGTGCCAGACACAGGTTTCTGGGGGAGCAGGTTCCAGAGATGGGGTGGCGCTACTGAAAAGATGGTTCTCCTGGTTGCCACCCCCACTTACTTCATTAGTGGGATGGTTCCCTGAAATGGACCTCAACATTTTATTTGATTGAATGAATAATCAATTCTTTTTTCCCCATTTACAAACCTTAAAGTAAGGCCCTTCCCCAAAATGGACTCAGCCTCAAATCTCTTGCTGAGAGGATCCTCAACTACTCTCTTGACAAGTCTCTTCACCTGTGCTGCAGCAACTGGGAGGCAGAACAGCTGACTCAAGACCAGGTTTGTACTCTATTGCACAACAGGAGCAGCAGCAGCTTCTGGAAGGAGTAGAGAAGTTAAGAGTCAAATGACTTCAGATTTCTTTGAATACGATCTGCGGGACCTGCAGTGGACTGGCTTCCCATGGACTAGCTTTTACTTTTTAGGGCGAGAGTTATGCTAATGAATTAGCATGTTTGTTCAAGGGTACCCGAGTGCCAACGCACAGGTGTGCTAATGTGAATTAGAACAAGTAAATCAAAATTCTGGTTAAAAAGGAAAATCCAGTTCTGCCAATGAGTGGATGATGCAACAAAAGACTCCTGTGCACCCCTAGGAAGATGCAGCTTATAGCAAAGGCAGCCCATGTAACCTCTTGATCATTTACTTTGGCTGTTGAACCTCTAACCTCATTGGTGGAAGGATTTCCAAGAAATGGCAAGTCGGTAAGCCAGCGGTGGGCAACTTGTCAGTTGCACTCCACAGGCTTTGACCTTCAGCTTCACTCTGCCCTAGCAAGCACACCCAGTAGGAATGAGAGTTGTATGCCAAGACATCTGGATGGCAACAAGTTGCCCACTGGTCCTTCAAACATAAGAAGGTACTGAAGCACCTGTTAAGGATGCTTTGGGATACCCCTTACCTGTCTGAGAACTGTATTGCATGAGGATCTGTGGGTGTAAAAGCCAAGATGCAGGTATTAAAGGCTGCCAAATTGGAGGATATAGATGAGGGTTGGGAGCAGTTGTGGTTGCATGTGCAGACTACCCTGGAAGGGTGCAATCCAATGCGGGCGCTCAAACTTGAAGGATTCTGGGCATCCTGCTCAGAACAAGAGGCGTGTGGAAGCGATCTTAACCTCCCGGCTCTGCCTGCTCTGCAAATCAGTTCCCCGGGCAATTTTGGCAGTCTAACTGTGGTGCTGTGGGCAGGAAGGGAAAGAGGCTGCAGGGCCACCAATATACATAGTATCATGCCTGACGGCTCGACAGAGACGTCACCTCGCGAGAAAGAGTCAAACATTCAAAATGAGAATCAGACATTAGAACAAGATGACTTATACTTGAGGCCCAGTAGCCAAACGGCCCCTCCGCAGCCCCACTCAGGGAATACTGAGCAAATAGCTCCCCCACGCCCTGACCCTTTGCCTTCTGAACAAATAGCCTCATCACGGCCTGATCATGAGGCTTCTGAACGAGAGGCTTCTCCTCATCCTGACTCTGAGGTGCGTGAGCAAGATGCCCCCTCCCACCTCCTGACTCTGTAACTGCTGGACAGAGTTCAGGAGATACAGAAGACATAATATCTTTAGCCAACGTCAATCTTAGACGTAGTTTAAGACGATTGAAACAAATGAGAAAACAGGACAGAGGTTTGTCCCACCCACGAGCAGAAAGACGTGACAGGAAAAGCTAATCCCACGTGGGCTCCCCAGAGTCTTCACAAAGGGGGGAGCAACTGACCTATTAGGACCTTCTCATTAGAGCTTATCTGTTGCATCATAAATCTTGTAGAAAGTAGTAATAAAAGACTTTAGTTTTACAGCCGACTGCTGTGTGAGTTAATTGGAGACGTAAGTTACGACCTCACGACACATAGGGTCACTCTGCTCCCTCCCTTGGAACCCTAAGCCTTTACTGCTTCTCCGAGGTTGCTTTTATGAGAAGCAGCCAGAATGCTTTTTCTGCTCTTGCTGTGGTGGGGTGAGGAGGACTTGACTGCAGATCCCTGGCTCCGAGGTTGGAGGTCTTTTCCAGCCTCAGCTCTGGGAAGCTGAAGAATCTTTTGGTCATGGGATTGCTCTGGAAGGCGGACATCTGGTCTCCTTTGGTACTGGCACATTTTGTGTTTAGCTTCCTAGTAGGCTGAAGGCTTAGGGAGCAATAGTATGCATACCAAGAAAGAAAAACGTCCGACTCTCAGCATGGTTTGCTGGGCAATGCTGGGAGTTATATTGTTCTATTTAAACATGCATAGGGCTGCGCCCTTATTTTCCTTGTCTTATTACTATTCTTTTTTTCATATTTGGCTTCTTCCAAGTATCAGAACTGTGCTGTTTTGTCCTCAGATTGCTTATGCTGCCAGGGATGCTCAGGTGTCGGTAGCTCTGTTTCTCCATCTGCTGCGACTGCCCTTCATGTGCCCTGTAACCAGTGGTGAATATGCTCTTCCTGCTTGGGAAAAGGTCCTGAAGAAGTGCCAGGGTTTGGTGGATGTGCCCTTCAAAGGAAGAAACAGCAGTAGTCATGGAGATGTTGAACAGGCAGAAGACTCTGAGCTAAAACAAAAGGATCAGAAACCTCTAGCGAATGGTCAGTCCCCAGCTAACCAGCAAACGAAAGATCCCCGAAAGCACAAGCGGAAGCCCCTGGGAGCAGGATATTCTGCTAGGTAGATTATTTGTATTGTTGTGTATATTTTTCATTAAAAAGAATCATGAAGCATAGTTCTATTTGGTCTAGTTTCAATAGCTAACCCTAGGCTTATTGTGGAGGTCTTTGCTGGATATATACTCTTAACCTGGATGGGAGCCATGAAATATTTATACAATACCTGATAGACTGTGGGCCTCCCATTGGCCAAAATGCATTAATGAGTACGGCCACCAGGTGTGAACCACAACAAGGTCAGTTTTGTAGATGACCATGTAGATGTTTGGGGGGGAGGTCTTTAAGCCCAGGGCCTGAATTCAATTTGGAGAAACTCTTGGTGGCTGCATTCTAGTGGTGGATGGGGCCAAAGGCAAAGGGGCAGGGCCAAGACTCTGCATGTTTTAACTTAAAGGTTTTACTGTGAGTAAGATCAGCCTTAGAGAAGCCACTCAGCCTTTCCGAATGGGAAAAATAAGCTGTGCACCAGCCGGGAGACCGCCAAACAATCAGCAGTCAAGGGAAAGGGGAGTAGTCAGAGAGGGTATTGTTTTGCCCCTTACTTGGATGGCAGCCATGTGGAAGGACCATGATGGACATGATTCTGTGCAGGTTCAGAATGTTGCATCAGTGGTTCCTGGGCAAAGTGATGTTCTCAGTGTTTCGTTATTTCAGATGGCTCCCAGGTGGACTTTATCATCAGATATTCTGAGCAGTGATACCTAATACTCTATATCCTTGGAGGCCATAGACTTTGTCTTGGCAGCCAGCCAAAATGTGTGATCGCCTTGATGGTCTCTCAACTGTAGGATTGGGGCTGGGGTTTGTGCCTAATGCCACACTGGCTTTTAGAGGTATTTCAAGCTTCTCTGAAATGTAGCCTCAGGTGAGAGCCTATTCCCTTCCAGAATGGCAGAGACTTCACATCTGGCTGAGTTTCTGAAGAACTTAGAGTTCCATCAAAGCAGAACAGATGCTGACTTCCTCTCAACAGCCCCAAGTTCAGCAAATGGTCAGAGACTCATGACACTTGGCAATGGAGAAAAGGCACTCACCATAGTGAGTGATTTTGAAAATCCAGCTTTGAGTATGAATTCAGGATATGGTTTCAGAATATATCAATACTTTGTGATTCTATGCTGACCTGCAGCATAATATTATGAAAGTTTACTAAGAAGTACAATGGGACTTGCTCCTAGGATAATAACTTTACTTGAAAGTACTCTCTGTTGAAATTGGCAGGGTTTGCTACCAAGTCAATGCATGGAAGATTGAGGTGCCAGAATTGTTTCATTTGGTGATGTGTGATTTTATGTGTACTAAGAATAACTTATTTTGAGCAATGTTACAGTTTCTTGTGCAAGAATAGTTGCATGTCTGTCTTTTTCACAGGAAATCTCCCTTGTATGACAATTGCTTCTTACACGCACCGGATGGGCAGCCTCTGTGTACCTGTGATCGAAAGAAGGCTCAGTGGTATCTTGACAAGGGGATTGGAGGTTTGTGAACCTTGCTAATCAACAACAGTTGCCTGGGGAAAGAAGTGAAAAGGTTGAAAGTAGATCTGTTGCTGCCAAGATTGTGGTGAGTTAGAAATTCTGCTTAGGAAAAAGGAGTTTGTCTGGGCATTAAGTCACCCATCCAGATTTCAACCAGGCCCGACCCTGCTTGGCTTCCAAGATTAGGCATGATCAGGCACTATAGGCTATACAAAAGCTAATTTAATATAGATAAGCTTCTTTTCTCTGGTGTCATTCTCATAATTTCCAGCCAGCATGGTCAGTGGACTACTGTGTTGGTCGTCTAGCACATCTGGAGGGTTCCAGCCTGTGGGAAGCTGAATTTAGATGTGGCATTTGACCCACAATAGCAGGTACCTCTGAGGAGGCCTAGATCAGAGATATGCAGTGTGGGGCCTGTAGGCACTGATGTGTGTGAGCCATTTCCTTGGTGTCCACCAAAGTGCTCCACCCTCCTCACTTAAAGAAAGAATAAAAACTTTTTCGTATCAGCTGCCAGGATCAATGCAAAGGGAAGTGAAAGCCTCAGGCATCTGCCATATTCATTCCCTTTGAATGCCTCTGGGCTACGTGGTGACGCCTTCTTGTAACTAGCCATGCTTCTCCAAGCAGTCATTTTATAGTGGTTCCCAGGACAGCATCACAAATTTCCACATATACCTAGTAGACCACAAAAGTTGCTTGCTTCTGGTCCAGATGCTCTTCCCAACCATTCTGCCCAAAGTCCATTGTGCTGTTTATGTTGGGTTGCCCTCTTCCATTCCATAGCCTCATGCTGCTAGTGCCCTTCTGCCTTTTCACTCCCTTGAGGGGGGATTCAGCTGACTCTCTAGGCCAGGGGTCGGCAACCTTTAACACTCAAAGAGCCATTTGGACCCGTTTCCCACACAAAAGAAAACACCGGGAGCCGCAAAACCCTTTTGACATCTAAAACGAAGATAACACTGCATATATCGTTTTTTATCTTAATGCTATGTATATCTTCATTATGATTTAGCTGCAGCTCTTGCTCAGTCACTAAAAACTGGTATTTTTAATCTTCTATTATAAACTAGCAGGACTCCTTTCATATATTTTGAATAGGAGAACAGCTTCCTGAAGAGTCAAAGTCAGTGCTAAAGGGCTGCATGTATTAAACAGCAAACTCCATAAGTTCCTCAGCAGTAAAAGCAAATGAATCTACCCACTATCTTTTCTATGATTTATCCATGGTTGGCCTGGGGGGTGGCTCAGTAAATCAGATCAGTGGTGTGTTTACTGACTGATTAGCAGATAAACAGTCAAGTGCTTTGAATTGTGACAGGTCCCAAGCACAGCTTTTAACATTCAGATGAAGGAGATTACATTGGGACAAAGAGAATCCTTTCAGCAGAGTTTTGTGTAACATGAGATCCTGCAAGAAGCTTGTTTAGCAGAGGAATGTAGTGATTTACTTAACTAGCTGATTTACTTAACTAGCTGTACTTAACTAGCTAGTGCTGCCGGTATTTTGAGCGAAGGAGCCGCAGCAGAGGGGTTCGAGAGCCACGTGCGGCTCCGGAACCGCGGGTTGCCGACCCCTGCTCTAGGGAGAAAGAGTGTCAACAGCACACCAGCAGGCTGGCCGGACCTATGGTAGACCAAACTAACTTAGGTACCAGCATTGAAGATATTGGCCTGGAAAATAAAGACGAACCATTTGAAATCACACCTGCTGGCTGACATAATGCATTCATTATTTTGTGCTGCCTGTTATTCAGAGCAGGGTGGGGCAACTTGTGCCTTCCAGATGTTTTCTCCTGCATCTCCCATCGTGGCTGTGCTGACAAGGGCTGATGGGAATTGTAGGCGAAAACATCTGGAGGATTTTGCTCAGCCCTGATATTGTGGATACATATACGTAGACATTAAACATTTAAGTCTTAACATTTGTTGTTGTGATTTCAGAGTTGATTAGCACAGACCCTTTTATTGTAAAGCTACAATTTGAACCTGCTGGGCGCCCTGAATCTAAAGTGGATTATTACTTGACAGTCAAAGAGAATCTGTGCGTTGTGTGTGGCAAAAGAGAATCGTATATTCGGTGAGTTCTCCAGTAAGCCAGTTGTGGTACTTTTATCTAGTAGGGTGAAATTGAAAGTGAGCTTGCCCAGAGCTTTTGTTGTGTTGCACTTATTGAAGAAATAAAAATAGCACTCTGTGAATATGCTTGAAAATAAGGTCCTATCATGCAAATATGTATGTCTCATTGGGTGCTATGGAGCATTGATACATTTAATGAATCACAACAGTTAAGATTTGAAATTGTTATTTGACAGCTATATAATGATCCATAATTTGCAATAACAGGCAGATTAATAAATATGAACTGTGCAATCAGAGTGTGAAACAAATGATCAAAGATCAATAAGTGGATTGCATGCTTAATGAACTTGTCGATACTACGCACATCTAGACATTGCTGTACTGTCTCATACATTGTGCTATATATACATTAACACTTAATTGTTACATATCTGTTTACAAAACTATTTCCACTAGCCCATCCTTACCCATCTGTTAAAAGACAATGTGTGGCAAGTTTCCAGAGGAAGGAGTGATACAGCCACACAGTGAACTGCCTCTCCAGACTAATTTAAAATGTCAAGGACCCAATACTAGCAAATCCAGGACACGTAAAAGGGGTACTGTTCAGTCGGCTAGTGCTTCCAGGTTGCACTAAGCCAATCATATGGCATAAATGTTGCACCCCAAATGGGGGCTTTTTGGCATGTCACCCCAAACCTGCACTGACTGTGCTCTGGGCCTCTAGCAAAAGCAAGGCAGTCTTTGCTCAACTCGGGTTCCTTTGCATTGGCCCGTGGAGCAAGGGTGGAGCTGGTCTCCAGGAATGGTGTCTTGCTGGGGGCTGTGGAGTGCGCTTGTGGCTGAGATGGGAGCCTATAAACTGCCTGTTCTTCCCTCATCTGCTGTTTTTTATCTCAAGCATTTATATCTCATTTTTCTTTTACTAGCATGCCTAAGATAGCTATTGGCCAAAACATAATGAAATGTGCAAAGCCATAGCTAACACAGAAGCTCAAAATTAGCACCAGATAAACTAACAGCACAGTCTTTTTCATGTTTGCTCATAAGTATGTCCCACTGAGTTGAGATGGGACTTATTCCAAGGTAAGTGGGTGTCCAATGGCAGCCTGGTGAGTGCATCAGATCAGCCATCACTAGGCAGCATGAGGCCTAGTGAGGCTTTGGGCTCACCATTCCCAACCCTATATTTCCCCAACAGAAAAAACATAGTCCCACACGAGTATCGGAAACACTTCCCCATCCAGATGAAGGACCACAATTCCCATGACGTGCTCCTCCTCTGCACCACCTGTCATGCTGTCTCCAATTACCATGACAACCATCTCAAGCTGCAGCTGGCCGAGGAATTTGGTGCCCCCCTTGGCTGTGAGGAGGGCGTGCGCCTGCTTGAAGATCCCATCCGCAGGCAAGTCCGTTCAGGGGCTCGGGCGCTCTTGAATGCGGACAGCTTGCCTGATCCTAGGAAAGAGGAGTTGTTGCAGGTGGTCAAGGACTACTTTAACTCCACAACCATTTCCCCAGAGATGCTACAGGAAGCAGCTGGACTGGAGACCAGGTACAGGTGGAGGGTGGTGACTTAAAAGCTGGACATCTCTGTGCCTAGATTAAATTGGGCCTGGAGAACTTCAGACAGGGGTGGTTCCCATCCCTAGTAGCTTCTCATTCCTGCCTTTTCTTTGTAGCATCTTCAGGGTCTTTTTTCTGTGGCTCCAGCCTTCTTTTGACTAGCCCCAGACTGTTTTCATGCATCTGTCAGCTGGGACTTTGCCTAGGGTCTGGCTTAGGAGGGCTTCTCCAGCAGAGGAACCTACTATGAACATTGGTCTTAGTATAATGAGTGAAGGGAGAGAGAGAATGAGTTTGTACTAAAGAAATACATTCAAGCCACAAAGAGGGAGAGAAAGTGTTATCTGATTCTTTTTGTCTTCATGTTGTATTAAATGGGCTGCCCCCCCTTTCTCTCTCTCTCAATCTCTCTCTCTCTCTTTCTTTCTTGACTCCAAATGGAATGCCAGCTTTATCTCTGTCCTTGGCATGAGATCTGCAACAAATGTTGTAGTATGGAGAATTGCTGTTCAGCCAGCCACAATCTTTTCCAGCACACTCTTCCATTCCCTCTTGGATTTTCCATTCTCCACCCAACAACAGACAGCAGCATTCTGTGCCCACTGAGCAAGGTCAGACCTCGCATAGCTGTTTTTGGCATTCCCTACTTAAGGTTGCCATGCCTGAAGAATATTCACACTGCAGCAAACCTCTTGATAGCCTCCTCTTGTGTGCGGATAATGCTGGCTTGCCTGCACAAGGATGGTGTTTGCTATCAGCATATAACTTTGTTAATTGGGCTTCAAGTTGACCTATCTGTCCTGGCTTCTCACAAGAAATTCTGGCCTCTCAAAAACTCTCAGACTTCTGTTCTGTACCCCACTTTCTTGCAGTACTTCATATCCTATGGTCTCCAGTGAGCAGGCATTATGACATTTAGTGACACCAATGTCAATTTGTAGATCAGAGAAGACTTTCTAGAACTAACTTGTGAGTCATTTTGAGGAGTTTGCAGCTGGAAGGTCAACACATAACGGTGGTTCGGGATTCTTTGAAGTCCTGCGCTTGTCTGAATTCAAGTTTTGTTTCTGCCCTTTCAGGATTTTTAATGAGAGCTACGTGCCACATGGCCTGAAAGTGGTGCAGTGTTTTGCACAAGGGGGCCTGTGCTCCCTCATGCAGCTGGAGAGACGTTGGCGCCAGCACTTCCTGGATGTGATGCAGCCCAAGCATCTCCCAAAGCAGTGGTCTGTTGATCACAACCATGACAAGTTGATCAGAAAATATGGAGAGGATCTCCAGGTTGAACTCTCATGATGGTTGGCGCTTCCAGAAGAAGGATAAACAGACTGGGTGATGGACTTGGAAAAATTAACTGAAGCCTCTTGCTTTCTTTTAGACTCCCATGTTGTACGGGCATGTTAATGCTCAGATTTCCTGTTGCTTAGAAATTGTTCTCACTGTCCATTGGCAAAACTGTTGTAAGGTTAACACATTTTAAATGAATTTTTAATTAAAATTTGAATGGATGTCATCTCTGTTCTTGCTATTTAGGGCATGATAGCAAGATTCTCATTAGGAAGGACCACTTCCATGAAGGCCATCAAGCTGAGGAAGCATATTGTCACCATGCTGGTTCTAGTCACCATACCGGGCTGCAATCTGCCTTCTTTGCTTTACTTTGGAGAAGGAAAGAAAACAGGCTAGACTGATGCTAAGGGGCATGATAGATTTGGTGCTACCAGATACTTCAGTATCCTACCCAAGAGCTTTGAAGACCTCAGCCAACGAAGATCTAGCACCCTCTGGAAAGTAGCAACCTGACACTGGTTAAGAGACTGTCCAGGGATTTTCAGACGGCATTCCTAAGTCATAAAAACAGTTTTAAGAAGAGCACTACATTATTGCATAGAGGTATTAGATGCACAAATTAGAGGGGTGGAGACATGCTTAGTCTGTTGGCCACCTGTCATCTTGGTACGCCATCCTCCACATCCTGTTGGATTCTTTGGGTTCGATCCACCCATCTCGCAACCCCCAAAATGTGAATGACTGTAAGTGCCACTTGGGCATGGTTGGTGTCTTCAGACACAGGCGTTTCTGCCACATCACAGGCCTGGCACCCAGTGGGTGCCTTGGGCCTTTAGGGTGCTTTTCTCAGAGCCACAAGGTGATTTGGATGAACTGGTTTATTTCTGATCTATTTTGTTTTCACATGTGTCTGCTTATAAATGTATTTCATCCTGTTTCCATGTTAATTTGCAGTTGTTTTAATCTACAAGTCTAAATACACATTTTGAACATATTTTCTCAAAAGATGCAGTTAAACAATTTAATCTTGAAGTACATATTTTTGATACTTAGCCAGAAATGTATTGTAAGTTTAGGAAAAAGGTGAAATCTGTTGAATAGCTGCAGTCCGATCTGCACATTCACCTAAGAGGTGCAGAATAGATCAATTCACATCAGAACTTACAAAGATCAAATTCCTTAAGCTTCTCTAGCCAAAGAGAGTTGCAGCTGGGGGTGAGGGCAGAAACATGTGCAATGAGGGCAGGAACAACCCATCTCATGCACAGGGAGAAAAGTATTTCTGCTGACTTAAATGGATTTGAACCCAAACTCATGCTTTCTGATTATTTCGGGTGAAAAGTCAGACTGCTGCCTGACTTTTCATAATCGCTGTAGCTCTTTTCCCCCTTTCCCATTGTTCAGGTTGTGCAGATAAATGAGCCTTCTATTTTGATTGAAACTGAATCAAGATATTACAAAAACATATAATTTCTATCTTAACTTCATAAATAAGAGGGGATATGTTTCATAATCTCCTTCTCATAGTATTCTTCCCCTATCCCTTGACTTTGCTTCAGAGTAGAATGTTTTACCCGCTTGGCGCTGATTCTGAAAATAATGCAAAGTCGATCAGTCACTAGATGGCAGAATGTTGCAATGAATACAAAGAGAGGACCCGCTATCAAAAGCAATAGGCTACAGGGAAGCTCTCCCTCGACCTTGTATGGATGCTGTCTGCTACTTTTCTTGCATGGGTTGGAAATGCATTTTTCTGCCTCAAGGAGTGTAACCCTCTTTGTGGCCATACTGGGGTATGCTGCCCCTGGAGAGATGATGGGATTTGCTGTCAACACATCTGGATCATATCAGGTTGTAGAAGATTACTCTGGAGCTTTTCTCTCAGGATGTCAGTCCTGTGAGTTTCACGAAGACATTGAATGGTACATCCACTAGGACACTTCTTGTCAAATTATCTACAGGCTGCCATCTCTTGATCTAGAAAATCTAGGTCCTTCCCTGCTCCTCCAGCTTCCAAATACTTCCCAGACCAGGTGCTACAATATCCTAGTACCTCATGATACTGAATTAACTTGCAGATGAATCAGGAAGGTTCTGTTCAAGTTTTGTATCACACTAGTTCTGTATCATCCAAGTTTAGGATGCCCAAAATAAAAATGATTCAGCAATTTGGAGCCGAGGGTAACATAATTAGAGAGGTTAAAGATTGAATCACAGGTGACAGACAGCCTGTTCTTGGATGCTAGTGGGGTGCAGCAGATGGACTAGAAGGAACCTGGGCCCTTAGGGGACAGGGTCATGGATCCATGGAGCTCTGCCTTTGAGCTGAGCGACCACCTACGCCCATGAGCAGTGATATTTCAAGAAGCTGGCCAGAACAATCAGTATGAGAAGAAGTGTTCAAATGCAGAGGAAGGCTCCTTGTGATGAAGGCCTTCTCCTGAGCAGGACTCTTCTCATGAGAAGGACCTTCCAGAAGCCTCTGAGGTTCTGCAGCTGAGCCTTGGGTGGAGTTGGGCACTTTCTGCATACAAGCATAGTTCTCAGCCAGAAGGCTTGCTAACTAATGTCTTTGTTCCTGATCTCCTTGCATTGGATTACTTAGTCCTCCTGCCACCAAAGTTTCTGTGAGCAGAACCTAGCTTGTTGAGTAACTTTGCATGTGGATTCTTCTTTGTCTGATGCTGTACTTCTTGCCTGAAACGTGCTGGCCTGGACTTGAAATTGCTCTGTGACTTTGCAGTTGTACAAATCCTTGTTTGGTGCTGCATTCTGTGTAAGGACATTTTTCAGCCTTGACATTACCCCTTTTCCAGAACAAGAGAAATAAATGCAGATTCCAGGTCCATGTGCTGGTCCAAGTTAAGCCTACTCCTCCACCATTGTTGACTATTTCCCCCCTCTCTGATTCTATAGCTCCCAGCTTTGGCCTGTCTATTGTATTCTTTTGAATTGCCAATTCCTTTCTGACATGTAGCTTGGATAATGTCAATGGCTGCTTCTTCCCTCCTGTTCTCCAGACTATTATCACAGCATAAATAATAGCGTTTATGGGTCTCTTGGTGTGCAAACCCAAGCACATTTAGGTGCCAGCCTAGCCACCCCTTGCTGGCTATTTCTTGCTGGGTGTTAGAAGCCTTTCCTTCTTTCCAAATGTGCATAGGATTGTGCCTTCAGTACTGAAAATGTGATATGGCAAATTCTGTTCATGACTTAAGGAGTCCTGATGCCTGCTTTCAATAGTACCTGTCATGCATGGATTTTATGGTTCCCTTGACAATTGCCAGGGGTGATGTTTTTAGTCTGTGGCAGGTCCTCTTAGCATCAAGACTGTGCAGTTGTCTTTTTCCATGAGCCACAATGACTGGTAGCTGTTCCTTCACTATCTTTAAATAATGCTGAACTTAATTCCAAAGGTCTGAATGCTTCACTAAGAACATATGGCTTGAGTTTGGGAAGGGAGGAGGTGAAGTTGGAAAGTAATTTATTACCTTATATAACCACTCAAGAAGTTTCCAAAAATTTATCCTTCAGAAAATAAAGCCAAAACCTGAGGAAACTCTTCCTTGCCATACAAGGCCATGTTTTTAACTGCATCATGTGGAATTACAAGGACTAAGGCTGCTAAATTGAAGTTCTTGCTAGAATAGCATATTAGGTAAAAGATTGAAAGCCACTGTTAACAAAAAAAGGAAAGAAAAAATATATGGAACCTCAGCACATTCGGGAATGTTCTTATAAGAGGTTTTTTCAGGCTTCAAATACATGGCCACCCATCTTGATAGTGCACAATATGAGAGCTGCACCCCACTATGGTCTCTGCAATATGGCAATAGATCTTGGGATGAGCCTCCCGGATTGCATGTTGCTTCATTAATGACCTACTGCTGCCCCATATTGCTAAGCATCCATTAAGTGCTTCTGCAGGCAAGCGAGACCTGAGTTTAAACTCAGATTAGTTTCAGCAGTACAGCATTTCACTTTTGTATTTTTCACACCATTCTTGCATGGTCTCAATTGTTATTGTTCCTTCCTGATTTGCCCCTATGCTAAGAAAGTTATAGCTGTCTTAGAGCCACATGCTGAGTAAGGAAAGGTGGAGGAAGCTGCCCTTGAAAAGGTAATGCTATCTAATTAATTCTACCTGGGATAAAATCAGGTAATTTAAGTCCAGAAAAACTCTTGGGCTGGGGGGGAGAAGAACCCCTCAATGGGAAATGACCCCTTATACAGTACTGTTATGATCTCTGAGATAAGCTGCAGAGACATGAATCATGGCTTAGCACAAAACATGTACAGCAATCAATATGAATGAAATTCTGACAGTCTTTGGACAAGGAGAATTAACAGTGATGTGTGTTTCAAAGTCAGTGAACTGTACCTCACAGATTCAAACAGACTCTAAAACAAACTTCCAAGTTTTATTTAGACAATGGCTCCAACACGGAGCTCTCTCAAAGTGCATCCTCTTTCTTCTCAACCCAGAAGCAAAGGATGTTGTCCTTTACTATTTCCTGATTTCTCCCAAAAGGCATAATTCATTTGGTATGTACTTTCATATTGTTACAGCTATTCTCTTTTGAGAAAGGGAAAAAATCCTGATAGTTTATTCAAAGTTTATGCCTTTATTTTTTCATGTGAGTAGATCTCTTGACCATTATCCTGCTTTAACAAACAACTAGCACTAGTTGTATGTGGGGTTATTTTTGACCCTAGGAGAAAGTACCATTGGCAAAAAACGGGGCTAAGTCTGAAAAGTCTTCATTGTTGCTGGAATTTTCCCTCAGGAGATTTTAATCAACATAAGATTTTAATCAACTTGCAGCAATCAGCAAATACAGGAAAAGTAAAGTATAATCCTTCCTGAGGCTATGCAAAGCAAGATAATCTGTATAACAATGCTAGGCCAATTGACTTTTCATCTGCATAAGAATACTTTGGCCAACCAAATATAAAAAGTTTTTCCTCAATGGATTTCAGTTCTTTCTGCCAGGAGTTTCAGCTAAGAATCTTAAATTTAAAAAGAGACCTAGATAATCTGTACCTTTTCTGGCTGCTCCATGGTTTGGAGTAAAAAGTATCCTGCACAGCTATTCCGATGGCGATTCTGTGTGTGTGTGTGTACTTTTGCACATGAATCTCTCCTGAAGCATCCTCTGGTGTGTCTCTTCCTGGGTCAGTGCATGGCAAGTGCTCCCTGCTTATCTGATCCTGCAGGATCCT